GCGGGCCACGTTGTTGTAGGGATAAGGGAACGCGGCGATAGCGAGACAACCGTCGTTTGGAACTTCTCCGAATTTGGTCGCCACATTGTGAGATTGTTCCGGTTTACGGTCTGGGACTGCGTGGGTGCTGGTGCAGTGATATACGGGCGATGTAGTGCGGTGGTGTGCAGTTTGCATCGTTTGCGTACGTAAATTCGAAACCGTGATGAATAGAGAGGCAGATATTAAAATGCACGCCGACTTAAAACGTTGTGGACGCTTTTGAATTCGTCGGCGCGCGCGATGGCACGCGTTTCGAACGCGTTTAGAATTAGCATCGACATTAAATATGGCGCAGTTTTGTGTGCAGGTGCGAGAGTCTGAAGTCATCGTAGTGTCGATTTACAGAAAAGCAAGTGCCGGATCGCGCGGAGGGAGCGATTCTTGATCGGAATCTGGATCGGAATCCGGACGTCGCGGTTTGCATGCGACGAGCACCGACTGCCCAAGAAGCGCCGCGTCGCAAGAGGGTAGCGTGATCTCGTTAAGAGATGAATTTTTTTTCTCTTCCCGCTACCTAATGTATAAGTTGCCCCTCTCCCAATCTAATGTATAGCTGGCCCACTCTGTCCGTACTCTAATGTATAAGTCGCCCCCTCACCTATCTAATGGTATAGCGTGCCCCCCAAACCCTATCTAGATGTAGAAGCTGACCCACCCTCCCTATCTAATGTACTAAGCTGACCCCGCCAGCCCTATCATGCGCCCATGCGACACTTAACGGGTTTTGGTTTTCCGATTGCCCGGACAAGGTGAATAGTCATATTTTCGGACAAGTTTATTCTCTATGCTAGTTGGCACACCAGCTCGGATCGGACTTGGAAAAGTTTCTAGTTGTTTAATTTCTTAACATCCTTTGACCGTCCAGGCTGGCTAATCGCCACACATTCTCATTCAAACGTTTTTTCAAAGAGTGCCCTGAAAAGCAGCGCCGCCGACACCATAGTTACCGATTTTACAGATTTATTCACAGGGATGCAGATTCTTTGCCGCGGATCGCGGAAGAATTCCGCCGGATTTGACGATGTCCCAGGGGTCGAATTTTGTGAAAGCGTCCGTAGAATATCGTTTAGAGAAAATTGTGGGAAGGGGGGCGTAAACACAATTTAATTATATTACCATCAACAGCACCTGACTGTAGAGACTGTAGACTTGTGAGTTGTAGGACAGTGGCTGACAGCGCAAAGCTATACAGTGTTATCTGTGTTTTTTGACGATACCGCAGAAAGATATTTCCTGGGTTCACAGGCTGCAGTAGAGGGCAACACATTTGAAGGTAGCTGATCAAGTAACGGCCCATGCCTGAGTGGGACCTGGGGGGACCGGTGTTTACAATGTTGTGGTGCATGTGTGTGGCATGCTATGCCACTGATTGTTATTCGCATTTGTGTTTATTCATTCAAATCCTACTGGGTCGCACAGCAATTGGCAGCTTATGTGTCTGTGATTATTAGTAAACAAATTGCAAGCGACGGGTACGGTGGAAACAGAAAAAACTCCAAATCATATTACTGTCTTAGACATTTAATAAAAAAATACTTGACGTATTTTTCACGCCCCGGCATGAATTTCACTATATATAGTTGTTTTTTGATACCTTTGACAACTTGAAAGGTGATTCAAGAGTTCCTAACTATTTGCTTCAGACATAGCTTAGAATGCCACAATTATGCCCCATTCTTTTAAAATAAATTTATATTGTGCTTCCGGTCGCGTCTAGCGCGGGGCATGCCGGCGTGGCACCTCGGATCCCCCTAGCATGGCGATGACCTACGGTCCTCGCATTGCTCGCTCCTCTGTTTGCTAATTAAAATTTCAGCTGAAAATTAAATTATCCAATCTCATCCCTGTATTCAGAGCGGCAATGCATGGCGGCATTGATTTATGTACTGGGGTGGGGGGGTACGATTGTTTATAAGTCGGTTGGGGCATATTCATTACTGAATATGTAGGGGGTGGGTATCGCTGGGATGAGAGGACAACAGCAAAACTCTTTCCTGTGATTGAGGAAAAAGCTGCAATCGGTAATGACACACAATGAGCGTGCCAGCATGCAAACATAAATGTGTGAATTTCATTACGATTTTACATGTACTGTATTTACTCGTGTATAAGTATAATTCATGTATATTATAAGTCGCACCCAATATTTTGCATTGAAAGGTTGGTACAAACATTGGTACATTAACAAGATTTCTTAGCCTGTCGCACCTCCTGATTTTTTTTATTGAAGTTATACACAAGTAATTACGGTATATATACTGTAAGTGTAATACACACGCACACACGCATGCAAACGTGCGCAGGCACATGCCTAGGTATGTGCGAGCCTATATGCATGCAGGGAATACTGGCAAAAATATCAGGAGTGTATAATATATATATATATATCTACATCTATCTATATATATGTTATATATTTATTTATTTATATAATATAGATCTCTATATTATACACTCCTGATAATATGATATGCACTGAACCAAAAGAGGACATTAACGGCTCATAGATTGCACAAGTAAATTTTGGACAAGTAAAAATTGCTTCTTGTTGCTCTGGACAAGAACAGAATGAAGACAGGACAACCAGATCTGAAAATAAGCGTCGAGGCCTGCCTATCTAATGTATAAGCTGACCCCCCCTATCTAATGTATAAGTTGGCCCACCCTCCCTATCTAATGTATAAGTTGACCCACTCTCCCTATCTAATGTATAAGCTCACCCACCCTACCTACCTAATGTATAAGTTGACCCCCTCTCCCTATCTATTGTATAAGCTGACCCACCCCCCCTATCTAATGTATAAGTTGACCCCCTCTCCTTATCTAATGTATAAGTTGACCCCCTCTCCTTATCTAATGTATAAGTTGACCCCCTCTCCCTATCTAATGTATAAGCTGACCCACCCTCCCTATCTAATGTATAAGCTGACCCACCCTCCCTATCTAATGTATAAGCTGACCCCCTCTCCCTATCTAATGTATAAGCTTACCCACCCTCCTTATCTAATGTCCCCATCCCTTTCCTCTTCCTCTTCCTCTTCCTCTTCCTCTTCCTCTTCCTCTTCCTCTTCCTCTTCCTCCTCCCCCTTCTCTCCCTCCATTGCACCTCCCCCTTTTGCATCCCTCTTTATCTACTGTACAGTTGTGTAGTAATTATGAAATGCCTTCCTTTTCCTTGCCCTCCTCTTCTTCCCCTTCCTTCTCTTTCTGTTCCCTCCTCCCCCTCCTGCTCCCTCTCTATGTACTAGCTAGGCACCATACTCCTATGTGACTGTGACTGTGTGACTATGTGACTATGTGACTATGTGACTGTGTGGATCCATCTTGTTCACTCTTGTCTAATACAGGATGATGTGATAGTTATGTCTGTTTGTTGCTCATTAGTATGCTGTACAAGATGTTGTTGTCTGATGAGTTGCCAGAGAGTTGCGTGCATACCTGTCATTCAGGTACATACAGGGGGTGGGGGAGCGCGTCACGTCGTGTCCTAACACGCAACAAGGATAAATTCCCTGGTCGTCCATCTTGAATGAAAAGTACTGATGGAATTTGTGAATTTTAGTTTGTATTTCCACTAAGGGGTGGCAGCACCGGAGTGACGTAATCTATTTTTAGATGCGCATCGATAACGTGCAGCGTTTGTTTGTGCTTTTGCCACACGATGGCAGCACTGTCCCGCCGCGGTGTATTTATAGGACGGGAGAATGTTGTTGTAAGCTGGCTTATTGATCGGTGTGCTTATGCTGTTGCTGGGTTCTTAAAGCCGCACTATGCGCATCCAAACGCTAATTTCTCCAGTACTAGACTAGCAAATACTTTGTGTCATGCATAATAACACTACCTTATGACAAAATAAACTAGTTCCTCCCATTTCCCTGCGCGTTGTCTTATAAAAGGCATTTGAAAATACCTCCAATGTTATTCAAATTCTCCGATGTTGTTGTCGACACTTTCGCGTTGCCCTGCCAAGCAACCGTGCAGCGGTGCTGCGGTACAGCGGTACGGGTGTAGGCTAGCAAAGATAAAAACATGTGACGTCACCTAACCGATTCTTGGCGAAATTGTTTGCCAAACAATTTAGCGTTGGCGCCAGATTACCAGATTTCGCACCTCTTTCTTGTGGGTTTTAAGCAAACGCGCAGTGAAATTGGAGGAACTAGAGTTTATTTTTCCATAAGGTAGTGTAATTATGCATGACACGAAGTATTTGCTAGTCTAGTACTGGAGAAATTAGCGTTTGGATGCGCATAATACGGCTTTAATACATGACGCACCCACCTATCTTAAGCGCTAGACCGTAAATAATTAATTATACTGTTTGTACCCATGATGGATAAATTCAATTATTATTGAATAGCAGCATATTTTGATAGAAAAGGTCAAAAGTCAGTGTAGGTGAATGTCGAGTTACAGATGAATATATCGACACTGGGAACAATTCTATATGTATGGTTGCATTGTATTTATTTTAATTACAGGTATTTACATGCAGTGTACATGTTCAGGCACACACACATGCACACACACATTTATCTTTGCTTAGATGATTTCTAGTGAAATAATATAGTTGCTGCTGCTGGTACTGATGTTGAGGATGATGGCGATGTCAATGGTGATGATGATGGTAATGCTGCTGCTACTGCTGCTGGTGGTGGTGGTACTGCTACTACTACTGCTGCTGCTGCTGCTGCTGCTACTGCTGCTGGTGGTGGTGGTACTGCTACTACTACTACTGCTGCTGCTACTCCTACTGCTGCTGCTGTTTCTGTTCTTGTTGTTGCTGCTACTGATGATGATGATGATGGTGATGACCGTGATGATGGTGATGGTGATGATGATGATGGTGATGGTAATGACCGTGATGATGGTGATGAAAGTGATGATGGTGATGACCGTGATGACTGTGATGATGGTGATGACCGTGATGATGACGATGGTTGACCCCGCTCCCCCCGCAGGTCGACGGTGGACGACGACACGCTGGACGATGAGTCGACGCGGATGGCGGACGACAGTCCCGACGACGACGCCTCGCGGCAGCCCGACAGCCACGACGACGACGAGGAGGATGAGGAGGAGGAGGATGAGGAGGAGGAGGAAGACGGGTCGGATGCTGAGCGGACGAAGAAGCCAGCGCGGAGGGCGCAGCGACGAAGCAGCGACATCAAACACGTACGTCGTCTCCGCCGCCATTTTTTTTTATCAAGCATGAATTTTCAGTGGGGGCACCTGGGGGGGGGGCACAGAAAATTTGTGGGCACGTGCCCCCCCAGCCTGATTGCACTGGGTCACTCCGTCTCTTGGCCGTCGAGCAAAGGCGATATAATTTGTGCTGAATTTTTTTCGAGAATCGCTGCTGTTAAGGTGCATGTGAAGGCCACAGACTCGTTCTTTGGATCCTGCAGACAGTTTAGACGTTGCTGGCTTTCCAAATTTACAGAGCGATCTAAGAGAGGACGGGTTTTCGCACGATTGGTGTTTTCACGTGTAAACATCTTTATTTGTCACTAGGAGGTCTTCTGAGTGGCCGATGTCGTTACCCTTTTGGATTTTGGTGCGATTCCTTGAAGAATTATTACTCCTTACTCTTTTCTTACTCTTACTGATTTTACTTTTTACTGGTTCGGTTTCTTTGGGAAGAGATGTTGTAGTTCAATGCATTTTAAAATTCCGTTGGAGTCTGTAGTAAAGGACAGTGCGAGGTGTTCTGTGAAACGAAACATTTGAGATTCTTGTGGTCTGAACGAGTGCTGTCTGCATTGCCCCCATTGGTTCGTCTTCTTGTATATATACAACCTCAAGTGATTTTTTTTTTTTACATCGAATGGTCTTCAGTTGAGTTAGTCTTGACTAAGTCTATAAAAACCCAGCCAGTCCTGAGTTTGAAAATTTTATTTGTACTACATAACCTACAGTAAAATCCAGAAAAATAGCTAATCCTGCTCAAAGGTTACCAGTTCTTTATATGAGAACAGGCCGCTATTTCCAAAAACTTGTGGTTTAAAGTTTTGAATGGTATTGGCCAATCATGGTTGGAGAATTTATACGACTTAATTAATTAATTATAAAAATTCATCATGTTCACGTGAAATTCCGTGAATGCAGATATGAAGCTATGTGAGGAAATATTTTTGGGTTTATATGTAGCACCGTGAACATCTTAGGGTTAATAAATCCACACATACGTTTTAATTACAATTGATGCTAGGGCATAATAGTAATTTTAAGGTTTTCTGTGTTATATTATCATTATTATTGCATCGGTTGTTATTCATTACTAAACTCTCACCTCGCTCCCTCTCTCCGTCTCTCTCTTTCTTTCTCTTTACTATGTCCCTCAGTCTTCTCTCT